TCAGTAGTGTGTTTTACAAAATGATTAATTAAATGCACCTGCATCCAGCTCTCAGGAGAAGAGGAAGAAAAACATTAAAAAGCATCTGGAAGGGTTCAGTTTTTTTGCTGTTACAACCAACAGCCTTTTATCTCACCTTCAGGTAAACGCACCAAATTATTTCTTCTGACATTTAGGTCACGCAAGCACTCCAGATTGCCAATTTGGGGAGGTATTGTCTGTATTTCATTACAGCTCACATCCTACAAAGCAAGAATAAAGAGTTAGCAGTTTTGACATTACTGCCACTAACTGGCAAGTCTCTTAACTATGAGGCATGGTGCTCTATTTAGGGATTGAAAGAAGAAAGACAGCTATTTATGTAACACCTTGGATGCTTGGATTTATTAAATTCTCAGCTCATTTCTGAGGTGAGGCATTATTTTCATTTTAAATACAGGGCAAATAAAAATTTCAAAAAATTAAGCATTCAGATGTGTAAGTCTATTTCAAGTTACTTAAGTTACTTTATGGTATTTGAGAGGGTGCAACCTCCCATATGAAAGTTTCGTGACAGAATAAAACGCACCAGAAGCTCTAATTCCATATAGCCTCCCTCAAAAGTAGGGAAAACTCTTGAGGTGATGTGGCTTATTCGTTCCCCAATGCAAGGTATCTTTTCTACACATAAATCAGATGCTTTAAGTCTCTCATAATATTTCATATTCTTTTTCTAATATCTCTATCGCAAAGTCAAAAAAAAAAAAAAAGCTGGAGATACAATGACAGAAACGAGGCTTTCTTAGGCCAAAAGCCGATTTCAGTTACTTGAAATGACATCCAAATGACAGTTAACAATCACAGAATTCTTAGCAGAACAAGAAACAATTCTGATCTCATGCATCCAAGACATACTAAATCACTGCACTGTTTTTAATTAGCTAAAAAAATGTTATTTCTTCTGAAACACATACGAACCTACTAAACACATCAACTAAAGATCAAATAGCAATAATTAAAAAAATAACTGCATACTCACAAGCTCTGTCAGCTGTCTGAGCTGTCCAATCTCTTCAGGTATTGAAACCAACTTATTATTACCGGCTATCAAAACTTTTAGTGGCAGACTACACAGGTGTACTGGCAGTGTGGAGAGCTGGTTTCGACTTTTTGGACAGAAAGAAAAGAAATTCATCATAATCTTGCTGCAGTGAAAAATTGCCTCACACCTTAATTTAATGAAAGATGTACTGAAAGCAAATATTAATAATTATCAGCTCAACTGCTCTCTTATTACTGTAAAATTAGTGTCATGAAACCTCCTTCGTTACTTGATTTTTCTAGTTATGTGTGAATAAACTCTCAGAATGAGGTATTAACTGATTGATTTACTGGAAATCATGGGTGGGGGAACATGACGTTTTCAGGTGCTCTGATGTGCTTCTGATAACTGATCACACTCTGTCACAACATAATATATTTGAGCACAGTGTGAAATCCTTTCAGATAGCTACTATTGCAGGCCAACACATACAAAACCCATAGAGGAAGTCATTATTTACTCAATTAGAAATACACTGTAAGTATTCAGGAGGTCATGTGGATCAAGAATCATGGTATAAGGAATTTGGTTGATCAGAATCCAGTGTTGCACATTTCGCAATAAACTACTATTAAAGCAAATGTGAGGCCATATGACTGGATTGTAACCCCACAGAATGAATCAGACAGGATGAGAATGGTTTATAAAAGGGAAAGCTTCTCTTTAAAAATAAAACATAGCAAGCAGTAGTGATTGGACTATCAGAAAGTTATTATGATTTTAACTAAGGACAAAGCCAGATGCTGATGTTTACCAAAATACAGTCTTAGTTCTTTTCATGACTGAAGCCTACATTTCCCTGCTGGAAGAAAAAGTTCTGAGCAGTAGGTGAACCAACTGCAGCTGTTAAAAGAACAATAATTGGACTGCACCTGCTAGAGATCACAGCAATAGGAAATCCATAGCTGACTCATATCCTATTCCTGCAATTCTCATTGTTGTTAATAATACTACTAATAAAGAAACACAAACAAATTCAAATGGCAAAATATAACGATAGAAAGAAATTGCCTGATTTTTTTTTCCTCGCTTGACATCACTGTCAGTTTATGGCTAGGAACTTTCCACACCTCCTAAAACATTGTTTCTAAAAAGAGAGAATCCTATACACAGTTGAATTTCATTAACGGCCTCTGCTGTGGCAATCAGCTTTCAATGCAAGCAGATAAGCATTTAATGCTTTAGAAAGCTCTTTCAAAAGCAAATAGTACAGCCAACATACATGGAAATGCAGTAAGCCTTATTTAGCAGTTGAGAGGTGAATAATAAGGACTCTCCAATAAGTTCATTCCCTCTTTTCCATCAGCATGTCTGTATTTCACATGAAAGTTACTGAAATTTGTTTTGAGAGTCCTTTAGAATGGAATTAAGCTGCCTTCACTTTCCACTTCTTAGTCATTGAGTTCTCCGATCAGCCTAAGTCTGTAAGTCTGGTTCAGACTGCTCTGGTTCAGGGACATGCCCTATAACAACAGAATGGCTGCACACCATGTCTGTATTATTTATTAATGTCCCAAAATGCATAAACCCAGACTACTGATGCTAAATCAAGGTCTTTAAGATAAAGATTACCTGATATTTAGAAATGTTAAAGACTGTAAGTTCAGAATGGCCTCTGGGATGCATCGAATGCAGTTCTGGTACAAATTAAGGCTCTCGAGGGAGACAAAGTGACATGCTTCTGCTGGGAGCTCTGACAGCCTGTTCCGTGACAAATCTGCCAGAAAAAAAAAAAAAAAAAAAAAAAAGAAACACTGTGAAAACTCATGAGGGCAAGCAAGTAATGCCTGTGGATATACAAATAAGGAAAGAGGTCGACAGGAATTGTTTTTGCCGTCCTGCTAAATTTTCAAGATTAAAAAATGATTCCCATTTCACACAGGAAAGAAACCAACCTCTTTCAAAAATTTACAGCCCCAATAAGAGAGACACAAGCAGACTCGCAGCAGCCGTGCTCTCACATATCAAATTGCCTAATGCTCATGGTGCTAGGTTAAGATGCTGAAAAGGGCCAGCTTCCAATCTCTTTTCTAGGACTATCTTTAGATTATGGACTTGGCATTTGCATGTTTTAATGAAAAGGTTAAAAATTGAGGAAGTTATTACACTTTATATAGTAAATGGTTGTGTCTAAAGCATGCACACATACACTTCTCCCACCTCCCTGCATATATACACTTCATATAGATACACATTTATAGATGACAGCTCAAACAGGGAAAAAACATGGAGCACACACCTTACAAGAGCCTTTTGCACGATGGCCAGAGCATTCTCCCCTTCAGGGAGGTTTCAAGCTTTTACTGTCAATCAGGTGAAGCAGGGATTTGAATTAAAGGTCTCCCCAATTCCACAGAAACATCCTGCTTGCTGTAAGGTTTACTATTTCTTTCTGATTATACATTCCCTTCTGGGCAGGGAACATTTAATCAGAAGTAGCATAAAATGTTTATATTTTAAGATCAACATTTTTTCCTAAGCCAATTCCAACTGCCAGCTCTATACATACAAAATATCCCTTAGACTACTCTCTACACTGTACTCCCTTCAAGTGCAAAAGCTAGATTGTGATAAATAACACGGTTGCACGGGGTTAGTTTTTGTTTAAAGAAGGGCAAGGGAATAAATGCCAAGGGACAGTTCTCAAAACAAACACCAGCAGCTCCTGCTTCCTAATACACCCGGCTCTGAATGCCGACAAGAGGGATGTTCTCCATTAAGAGCACAAGAAAGATTGCCCGGTGTCAGCAGGGAGCTCCTATAAAGATCCCGGCAGTTTAACAAACTGACACTTCACCCTTGCATTTTAAAGCAACAGCAGAGATTTACTGACAAAAAAATACCTAGCCTAAACCAATGTCATCTCAGGGCATAATGACTGACTCGAAAGCACTCAGCACACATCTGATCAACTCTCCTTGGTAAGTCAGTCAAAAGCCATCGTGCCCACCTGATTCTATAACATCTACAACCCACTGCAAATCAACTGCGGTTGCAAAGCTGGAGAACCTTTGAGAAACATCACTGCACAAACGGAATGGCCAAGCACCTCCTGTAAAAGGGTGGGTGAAGTCAAAACCCTGGCAACCTGATCCACACTCTGAGGTGGTCGATAAAACCACCACCAACAACAAATCTACCACCTCCTCAGAGAAAGCTTGTGCAGCAAACGCTGCATCTCTAAACTTTCTGACTGGAAAATTAGTTTGAAACAAGCAAGGACAAGTCACCACGCGTGCTGTTTTTCTCCTCTCAACTACTTTGGTATGGACTCTTAGCTGACAAAAGGGAACTCCTAAGATTCTTTAAAATATATAAATAATAGATAAGTATGTAAATGAATCAGGCTGAGCTAAAGCCTTCATACTAAAATGGTTTTTCACATAAATCTCAAGCTAACATAAGCCAACACAGCTATTAAAGAAAGACTCCAGCGCTGGATCTGTGAAAGCTGTGTAGCTGCAGTAGAGCTGAAGCAGAATAACACAGCTAAAACACTGGGCAAC